AAACCAGTTCCAAGGGGCTCCCACAGGCCTCCGGGTGCTCGGTGCTGCTGCCCCAAGCAAAGGAGCTTGCCCTGCCGCGGGCAGCCCCAGCTGGCAGCGCCCTGCGTGCCATGCATCGGGGAGCAGCGGGACCAGCTCAGCTAAAGGGAGGGGAGCTTAGCCCCAGGCCTGCAGGCACTGCCAGCCCTCGCTGGACCCTCTCCCTGGAGCTTCCTGCTCTTGGTGCTGCGGGGTGGGCTCAGCCACTGCGTGCCCGCTGCTAGGGTGCCTGGCAGAGCACTGGTGCTGCTTCGTCTGCATGATGGTGCCATGCATCCGCCCCACCCCTGCCCCAGGCACTACCTGTTGCTGCTCCCCAGCTCTGGACAGATTCCAGGCTCATCCGGCAGCAGCATCCTCTCCAGCAGCATCCTCCAGCATTGCTCTCAACACTTGCTTCTGCTCCCTGCCTACCCTGGTGCCATACCTACCTGGACCCAGAAAGCTCCGGAGCCCTGTGCCCCAGGGCAGGGAGACGCAGCGCTGGGCAGGCTCCTGCCCTGTGCCACACACCCTGGGCTTGAACAAGGCCCAGCACAGCCACAGCTGAGCTGTGGCATAGGTCAGCCAGGCTCCCTGCCCAGTCTTGGCAGCCTCCTGCCTGCTCTGCCCCAGTGCAGGGAGGGTGCCCCGTGGAGCAGCTCCACCAGGCCCCTTCCTCTCCTGCTGCTGAGCCTTCCCCTGTCCCATGCATCCTGCATGCGTCTGCCACCTACATCCCTATTCTCAGCCTGGCCTGCGGTGGGGACCCCGAAGGGCACCTGCACCCGGCTGCAAGGTGTGGAAGTTCATGTGCCAGGGTCAGATGGGGGGGAAACGGGAGGGTCCCTGTGACATCCAGTGCCCCGAAGAGATGAGTCCCTGCCTGGGTGCAGGGCACTGCTCTCCTGGGGTGCTGGAGGGAGGACCCTACCACATGGGATTCCCTTTGGCTCGGTCATGGCGTGTGTGCAGGGTGCCCCTGGCACCACCATCCCCACTGGGGCCCCCTGCATGGAGACCTTCCTCAATAAACCCTGCTCTTCATCCCGCGTTGCCTGTCCTGTGTCCTCCTGCATTGGAGGGGGGAGGAGGGCGATGGCAAGAAGTACAGAGTGGGCCGGGCATCCCTTAGTATACCAGGGTGCACAGAGCCTCACAGGAGGGGTGAGTGTGGGGGACACAGCAGTCATGTGGCCCTGGTGATAGGGACCCACAGGGAAACCATGGCTGGAAAGGATTTATTCAGCTGGCAACTGGCACGGGGCTGGGGGTGAGCAGGGCTAGTTGCGCTGGCAGCGCCCAGCCGTGCCCAGGGAGAAGCCGTGGCGGCAGTGGCAGTGGAAGGAGCCGTGGCTGTTGTGGCAGATATGGTCGCAGGGGCCAGGCTGTGCCTGGCACTCATCTATGTCTGGAAGAGAAAGGGAGAGGGTCAGAGCTCTGCCGAGGGTACGCGGCTCATCTGGCGTGGGATGGAGGGGGGCATCTCTGGGGCTAGGTGAAGCTGGGACATGAAACCATCTCCAACACCTGCAGCCACACAGCTGCAGTCCTGCCACCACTTGTCCCCAAGGCTGGC